GGAAGGAATAAAAAGATATATAGAGGGAGCTGGGATGAGAGGGGAAGGGAACAGTTTCGGACGGAATTAAGAGGAGTGGTAGGAACGGAGGGAAACGTGCAGGAAGTGACGGAGTGTATGGGAGCAAGGATTAGAAGAGCGCTGGAGAGGATAGAGAAAGAAAAAGAAGGAGATAGGAAAGAGGGAAAAGGATGGTGGGATAAGGAGTGTAGAGAAAAGAAGAGACAAGCTAGGAGAGCATTGAGAGCGTGGAGGGGAGTAGGAGAAGGAGACCAAACGTATAAAAGAGAAAAAAAGGAGTACAAGGAGTTATGTGAAAGGAAAAAAGAGGAGGAGAATGGTAGATGGGAGAGGAAGGCGGAGGAGGCCAGAACGGAGGGGCAAGTATGGGAGATTGTGAACAGGGAAAGAAAAAAATGGAAAGGGATTAATAAGGATATAGGAATGGATGAATGGGAAGAATATTTTCGGAATTTACTAGGAGGAGTAGAGAGTAGAGTAGTTAAGGGGGAGGGAAGGGGAGGAAGAATGGAAGAGGAAAGTGTGCTGGGAAAAGAGGAAATTGCGAGTGTGTTGGGAAGGATAAAGAAAGGGAAAGCAATGGGGGTGGATGGAGTGCCAGGGGAAGTATGGAAGTATGGAGAGGAGGAGGTGAAAGAATGGGTATGGAGAATGTGTAACAAGATATGGAGAGGGGAGGGATGGCCAGAGGAATGGAAGGAAGGGGTTGTGGTGCCGATTAAGAAGAAAGGAAGAGGGGAGGTAGTGGAGGAGTAAGGGAGGTCACAGTAATGCCATCGTTGTATAAGGTATATGCGACGGTGCTGGCGGAGAGACTGAGGGTGGAGGTGGAGGGATGATTCCACCGAATCAAACAGGGTTTAGAAAAGGAATGGGAACGATCGATAATATATATGTGTTGAATTATGTGATAAACAGGCAGATTGCGAAGAAGGGTGGGAAATTGATAGCGATGTTTGTAGATTTAAAAGCAGCGTTTGATTCTGTGGATAGGGGAATACTGATAAGAGCGATGAGGGAGAGAGGAGTGAGAGAGGGGTTAGTGGAGAGGGTGGAGGAAATGTTAAGAGAGACGAGGAGTAGAGTCAGGATAGGGGGAAAGGTGGGGAGTGGGTTCTGGACGGCAAGAGGGGTGAGGCAGGGGTGTCCAATCAGTCCCATGCTGTTTAATTTGCTGACCGCGGATCTGGAGGAGGAGATGCAGAGGGTAAGATGGGGAGGGATAAAATTGGAAGGGAACAGAGTGTGCACATTGGCATATGCGGATGATGTGGTGCTGTTGGCGGAGGAGGAAGGGGAAATGAGAAGCATGATAGAGAGATTGGAAAGATACGTGGATGGGAAAGGGCTAGAGCTGAATGTGGAGAAAACGAAGGTGCTAAGGTTTAGAGAGGGAGGGGGAAGAATGAGTAAGGTAAACTGGTGGTGGAAGGGAAAGAAAATTGAAGAGGTGAAAGAATTTAAGTACCTGGGATATACGGTGCAGAGAAATGGAGGACAGGAAAGGCATATTAAAGAAAGGGTAGCGAGAGCGGCGACAGTAATGGGGCAGGTGTGGGGTATTGGAAAGAGAAGGTTTGATAGGAAGTGGAAAAGAAGGATATGGTTGTATGATAAGTTGGTATGGACAGTGATGAGCTATGGAGTGGAGATATGGGGGTGGCAAGAGAGAGAAGGAATAGAGAGAGTACACGAAAGGTTTTTAAGATGGATTTTGGGAGTGGAAAGAAGAACGCCGGGATACTTGGTAAGGGAGGAGCTGCAGAGGGACAAGATGAGAAGTAGAGCGGGGGGAAGAGTGTGTAGGTTTGAGAAAAGACTGGAGGAAGCAAGGGGAAGTATGTTGGCGCAGGCATGTCTAAGGGAGATGAGGGAAAGGATGGAAAAAGGGAAGGAATTATCAAAATGGGAGAGGGAGAGGGCACAATTTTTCAAAGATAGAGGTGTGGAGATAGAGGAGTGGGATAGACAGAGTAGAGAGGAAGAGATGGATATCCAGGAATTGGAGAGAATGGATAGGGAAAGACAGAAAGAGGAAAGATGGAGAAGAATAGAGGAAGGAAAATTTAGTAAGTGGTATAGGGGTGTGAAAGGAGAGGGAATTCCAAAGTACTTGGAGAAGGGATGGG